GAGAGAGAGAGAGATATATATATATATACATATACATATATATATATATATATATATATATGTATATATATATATATATATATACATATATAGATAGATAGATAGAAAGAAATCAATCTATCCCTACCTGTTATTGGGCTTCATGATGAGGGGGCCCTAAACCCTCAAATCTCAACCGCGAGGTATGCCCAGATGTCCGACGATACCTTGGCTCTGTATAGCCAACTTCGCCCGGAGATCGACAGTGAAGAGTTCTACATCGAGTCGCAACAGGTGTGCGCCTTGGGAGAGTAGTATCGGGCCCTCCAGAATTGGAATAGGGCTTTGGGGCTCATCATACTAGAAAAATATTATGGAACCCCCAAAATGATCCTGGTACGTAATTATTTAGGCCCCTCCATTAGGGTGTTGGGGGGCTGAAAGAAGCACGGGATCAGGATGAAATCCCTCAGCCCTGCGTTCTAAACCCAACACATCATGCGCCGAGCGTGCAAAAAATCACCTTATTCCGACATGGCTGGACGCACCCCGGAATCATTCGCAAGCACGGCTTCATTGAGCCTAAGGGGACCAGGAGGGGGTCTAATCTTAAAGTGATAGTCTCCACCGAGCTGTAGGGTTCGGGGTTAGTTTGGAGCCCAGAGGCATCCCTGTCTGTAGAGAGCCTTCATCGTATCATTCTCAGGCCCGCCACTCAGAATCCGAAGCCGAGCCGACACCCGGAATTCAACCTAAACCCTAAACCCTAAACCCTAAACTCTAAACTCTAAACTCCCTAAGCTGGGCCCACTCGTCCGGTGAGGAGAGGCGTGGTGTGATTTCTGCCGTGTGATGTCGAGATTGTGGGCTTCGGGTTTAGGGGTTTAGGGTGTAGGGTTTAGGTCGAGATTGTGGGCAGTCAGTCGGTCTTGTGGTCGTTGATGGCTCTGAAGGTATTGGTCCCTTCTGTAAGGGTTGGGAACAACCTATCTAAACCCTAAACCCTAAACCCTAAACCCTAAACCCTAAACCCTAAACCCTAGCCTGAGATGTGACACAAGGCAAGGGCTTCAAGAACAAAAAGTCCAGCAGCAGCCAAGAAAGCCGAAGAGCACCTGCGTCCTTAACCCAGCGACCCAAGATACCATATTGATCGTATATTCTGCTTCATCGTCTTCGAAGTCAGCATCCAGTACGAATTATTTCTACTAGCACTACTAGTATCACGATTCGCATCACAATTTATGTCACTGCTCGTATTATTGCCATTGTTGCTGCCGCCGCCAACCCTAAACCCTAAACCCTAAACCCTAAACCCTAAACCCTAAACCCCAAACCCTAAACCCGAAACCCGAAACCCTAAACCTTAAACCCTAAACCTGCCATTTTTGGGTGGTTGCTGCCGCTGTCTTTCTGCGGGTCTCTCCTGAGGCCAGCGACCTCGAGGTCGCCAACGGCATGGTAGACACCTACGGGAGCCCTTGCTTCGGTACTTAGGGTTTAGGGTTTAGGGCTTAGGGTTTAGGGTTTAGGGTTTAGGGCTTAGGGTCGGTGCAGGCCCTCACTCAGTTGTGCATGTACTTACACGTGCTATATGTATGGTAGATAGCCTATGGCGTGTGTGTGTATATATATATATACACGCACGCACACCAAGCTCTACACTACATCTATACCTACATCTAAACCTATATCTTTGTCTAAACCTAGACCTGTATCCATATCTATGTATATATCTTTTGTTGATCTGAATCTAAATCTACCTCTATGTTTATATCTATATCTGTATCTATACCTATGCCTATACCTATATCTATATCTACATCTATATCTGTACGTGTGTTGATTTCAAAATTTATCGCTATATCTACATCTATATCTATGTCTATATCTATGTTGATACTAATATCGAAAGCTATATCTATATCTGTATCTATATCTGTATCTATATAAGTACCTGTATCTGTATCTATTTGTGTACAAATCTATATACATATGCATGTATATATATATATATATAATTCGTGCATGAATGCATGCATACACACGTACATACATGTGGTATGTGTACACATACAGATGTGCATAACGTAGAAAACAAGCGCTCGTTTTTTGTAGAGCTGAGATCGGTACTGAGAGCCCCGAGCCTAGCCTAGTCAGTAACGTATAGGAATTGGTCCAGTGGCATCGACCATGAATCACCAAGTAATTACAGTGTCTCGAACCGTTAACCCTGCACCGGGCATCCTCACGCCTCCTCGGATTCAGTGTTTTTCCGGCGTAGCCTTTAGGAGTGGCCGTTTCGGGTTTAAGGTTTAGGTTGAAGAGGTCAGGCTTCTGTTTTGGGTTTTGGGTTTAGGGTTTAGGGTTTAGGGGGTTTAGGGTTTAGGTTGTTGTTGTTTTTTTGTCCCGGAGAACCTTGAGCTGTTGAGGAGCAGCGCCTTCCACACCTCCGTGAACAGCTGGCAAGCTGGCTTTGACATCACGAGCAGTCTCCAGACTGTCCAATGCCTCGCCAAACCAGAACCCTACACTCCGAAATTCCTAAACCCTAAGCCTCTTCCCTGGATCCCGAAACGCCCCAAACGGGCATCCGTCGAAATGGGCTTCCGCTTGCGTCCACGGCTGTAGCAATTTTTCTGGTCAGACCCTAAACCCTGAACCCCAAACCCTAAACCCTGAACCCCAAACCCTATACTCTGAACCTGCAACCTGAAACTCCAACCCCAAACCCCCAAACCCCAAACCACCAAACCCCTGGACCTTAAAGGAGCCCTCATTGAGAGCCATCCCTCGTCCTAAGGCTCCTGCAGCATTTTTTTGGTATAGACACTGACGTAACTCACTGTAGACTTTGTTGATGCGCGTTTCGCTCTCTTTTTTGGAAACATTCGCCCACTTAACTTTCCGTTCTGTGCCGGTTTCGGGTGGCCCTCTCCTAGGCCCTTAACCCCCCTGTTTGGTCCTTGTTTCATACAATGCTACATGTTTGTCATAATAAAACCCAATAAGGAGTAACAATGATCATGTTTAACCCTAAACCCTAAACCCTAAACCTTTAATATGGCCCCAACAGGGAACCAGCCTCCTTGGGCATCCGGCAGAGGTTGCTTCGCTGGGGGAGGCAGCGGTGGCGACACCAAGAGCAAGTCTTCCGGACAGGCGAAGCAGGACGGCAAAAGTCCTTAGTAAGGTATCCCCTGGTGAATTTCCCAGTTCAGCTGACTCCAATTCTAGGGTTAAGGGTTTAGGGTTTAAGGTTTAGGGTTTAGGGTTTAGGGCAAGCAAGCCTCAACCCTGAGCCCTTGGCCCCAAAGTAAGGCCCTAAGCCCGAAGGCTTGAGCCTTTAAAACCCCAAAGCCCTACCGTGAGCTCGAATTTCTCTCCATGAAGCCGGATCCCTCAGCCCTGAATCCTACATCCGCTCTCTGGGCAGGACCAGGACTCGCAGGCAAAGAATCTGCAGAAGAGCATCACCGCCCTGGCGAAAACGCAGCACCTTGGCCGGCAGGACTCATTCTTTTGGCGTCGCTTTCACCGTGGATACCGCAACCGCAGGGAAGCCCGACATGCCGGACATGGATGCATATTCGGTTCGGGTTTGTGCATCTGGGTTTGAAAAGGGAAGGTGTCGAGATACTTTGACGTGAACTCATGCATCGAATCACGTGCTGCCCGTAGTCCCACACCACCCTTCATGTTAGACCGGAAAGGGTCAATCTCTGAAGGAAGCCATATGAAGGGTTCTCTGAAGATGGCAGAGAACGAAGTGTTTTATGTGGTTTTCGGTGTTGGGGTTAAGGTTTTGAGGTTTAGGGCTGAGAGTAAGCTACCCCACAGCAAGCTCGTTTAAACACGGCATACAACCATAGCACGTTCTTGTTCAGAAGAGCCGCCCTCAACCCGAAAGCTTAAACAAAAATGCGCTTAAAGACCCACAAAGCCAAAGCCTCGAACACAACTCAAAACCGTTTCTGTTTAGGCTTGGGGATTCCGGGATCTAGGGATTTAGGGTTTAGGGGCTTAGGGATTAGGGGATGATGGGATTTAGGGTTTAGGGTTTAGGGTTTAGGGGTTTAGGGATCTTCTGGGTTTAGAGTTTTTTACGGGTTAGGGTTCAGGAGTTTAGGGTTTCGGACTTGGGGGGCTTCGGCTTTGGGGTTCAGGGTTTAGGGGTGTGTTTGGGGTCTTTGGGGTTTAGGGTTTAGGGTTTGAGTGTATAGGATTTCAGGATTCAGGGTTTAGGGTGTAGGGTTTCAGGGTTTTAGTGTGTAGGATTTCAGGATTTAGGGTGTAGGGTTTCAGGGTTTAGGGTTCAGGGTTTGTAGTCTTTTGGTTTGAGAATCCCAGAACCAAGCGACCCCACTGTAAAGCAGGTACTTCTTCCAGCCGAAGATGCTGCTCTACTTCTCCCAGGACCTCCAAACTTGTCGGGTTCAGGGTTCAGGGTGTAATCTAGGGGCT